CATCCAGGACGCGGGCAGCCTCGACATCGGCAAAGAAGCAGCCAATCGAGACAAACCAATAAAACATTATTCGGATATCCGAAAAACACAATGCGTTGCTTTGTTATAACATTCTTTCGACCGTCGTTATCTCCCTGGACACGCCTACTGTCTAATATAAGAAATGGCGATCGTGACTGACCAACTTAAGAGCCGCTGAACACGTAGGAGAAGATCAATCGCCCATACTCCTAGATTGGTATGACAATGGGAAATAGACAATTAAGAAAGGTAACCCTGCATATTCAAACTTTATATAGATGGTCAATCATCCTATATATCGCAAGAAATTGAGCCATAAACCAAGTAAAAGCACAAATTGTAGTACAGCGGGGCCCGTACTAAAGGAGCAACTATCTATTAGACACATAGCTTTACACTCCGATGGCATCTTATGGAGCTCTTCTTTCGTTACCGTCCGGGAGTTTGACAAAGAGATTTAGATCATTGGAAGATCCGTTCCGAAGGAGCCAACCGAGACTCTAGCTCTGTTTCTTCGTTTTCTTGAGCTAGGCAATGATCTTCATATGCACTCTGAAACTGCAAGTTGTCACGCATGCAGGAGGAATCCTAATTAATTCAGCTAACCAAAGAATTGGAACTATTTTTCTGACATCTGACGTTTCTGGAGGCCTGATCTAACTTCCGCCACCGTGTGAGATTTTTCAGGGGTTGAAGAAGCACAAGACATCTACGCCAACAACCAATAGGTTAATAAGCTAACTCTGCGCGCGTTTCTTGCGCATAGTGTCTCTAAACGAGATATTAGTGTCTAGAATGTACTACTATCTGCGCATGCGCTATGCCGTATTCGTGGCATTATCACCTCGCCGATCACAGAATTCGACTAGCACATACATGATGGAATATGTCCTAGGCGAATCTCGATCATCAGTGAGTCTTTAAGTTTCGTGATTTATAATGAGTATATGCACAAGAAGTAATCGAAGTATACTCAATTTCTGAAGAAGTCTGACTAAACTCACATAAAGATACATTGCCTATTACCTACTGTTTTCACACTCCAAAATTGCAGATGGGTAGCAGAAGTCTAACAAGGTAACTTTTTGTGTATGTTACATATCCCTCTCGATAGTATTGATTCGATCCTTTTCCTTGAGTGTTCATATCACGCTCGATCTGTATCTTGTATTGGATACCCTGGGCCCCATGATAACTGAAAGGCGGGTTGATTCATGCAGCACAGTTTAGGATTTGCAGGATATCTCTCCAGTTACATAATCGTAGCCCTTTGTCTACCATTCGGTTCTTATTCCCGCGATAACTAATGAATAACATTCCTTTCCCGACCACACAGATATCTGGTTCGTCCAAGGAGTGGTTTAATGTGCATAAGGGGCGCATGTTTCATCGCTACAATCTTCAATCGACGATCTCCGCTTTGGTCAACATTTTAGCTTTAGTTATATTATTGCAGCTGATATGTTATTGCTGAAAGATCTCTGAGCCTAACTACAAATAGATTTTCACCATGCTATGTTATGGTGTACCGAAGCGCCGTAACTCCAGTGACCAGTCATTACATTTGCAAATTGGGTATGTGAAAGAGAAAATATCTGTTTGGTCTGTCCGCTCATACATCCACGTCTGTCTGACAACCCTTCTGCAAGATGAATGTGTTGCCTATGGAGGGTGCTATAGACGCACTAAGCGTGAGTTTAAAGCTCTCTTAACCTTCCTTGATATTGACCGCGTGGCACAGCCATTCACACAGCTCTGTTAATCCGGAAATAGACTGCTGTGTTGGACACGCGTTTCCACTGCACTGGAGACATAAACGCCCGGATTTGGAACACAGAGAATCGCACGGGAATCGCATGGCTTACTTGACCTCGGTCAGTCTGGTGAGCAATTAGCAATAGACTTGGTCTGTGAATCAAAATATCTAAACTTTCTAAACACCCTTTCTTCTTTACGATGAAGAGGAACGATACGCCCCTCCTGAACGTACCACAGTTAATGAAAGGCGCTACAGGTGATGCAAGCAATTCCTTGGATTACTTACTTATTGGATAAATCTGGTAGCTATGTATGGTCAAGGAGTAACGGTTTGTTTTCGGCAATAACCTCCGTTGTAGATAGGCATTAGATACCAGCAAAACGGCATTACCGCGGACTTTTTATTATGTATCAAGTGTTTAGACGGCCGTGCTTAGAAGTGGTCGGTAATTACTGTGTTCTTTGTGTCCGTTGGGGGACATTGTTTCCGACAGAACTCATATACGCTGGTCTTATACCTTGGTGTGTTGGATAATTGATAGTTGAATCTCACACGCTTTTTTTCAGAATATTGCAGTTTTCAAGCGCTTTGTGCGCTAGGTTGCTGAATTAATCGAGCCGTAGGTGATGATTAGTCAGCGCTCGGTCTTAGCTCGCTAGTTGCCGTGCCGGGCGGCCCGGAGCCGCCCCATTTCCTGACAGTCAGCCGTCGTCATAAACTACATACATATATGTGTATGTATATAAAGTACTGCTTATACAGGCCATCGGACCAAGACCATGGATTCCTGCCAAGATGAGACGCATACCTGGGATAAAGGATATCACATATTAACAACCTGAAAGATTATTGAAAGATTACTGAAAGATTACTGAAAGAGTTGCGCTTTTTCTAATCTGTAACTAAGAAAGCAGGGGTCTTTGAAAGGATTTGTGCAGTAATTTTTAGGAGCCCATATCAAGAACTAAGTTGTGAGAGACATCATCCCCACTCGTATGAGCTTTGAAGTATCACTGTGCAATTGAGCCCCTCCGGAAGTGTTTCGCACCACTGTGTCCATCTAAGTCAAAGGTCGGCTAATAATGGGCCATTCAAATTCCACCAAGTACTCGGATCGACGGAGAAAAAGCTTCATCGCTGCGCTGACATCCGTATCACCGTAATATAAACGAGACGTGTGTTATTCGTTGAATGGCTACATGTAGTCTATTCTAGTTGACGATATTGGAAATGTGTTTCTGGCAATTCTGCTGCCAATCAGCTTCTGTGCATATTCTACATGCTGGAGTTCGGGAGAGAAAGCCGATCGGTATGTGTAAATCATCGGCTAGTTATGCATAAAATAATAGGCTTGAGACATCAACTAGCTCGTTCACAGCAATTTACCTGGATTTAGATTGGTCTAGACTTACCGGAGATCCTCCACGAATCCAACAGCATCGATTTGATTTTGTCCTCATGGATATTGATCTCCATTTTCTATTACATACTAAGACATACCTTGGCATTACGTCATCTGACCTAAGCCCGCCTGCTCATCTCATCACGAATGCGAGAAGAGTACAGATGTACGAAGTACCATGTAGAGTAGGGGGCGCCCGTTGTGCGCCACGCTATGCGACAACTCTCGCCAACATCACGACACCGGTCTTCGCCTCTGGCGAACGATCAGATCCGTCTTCCAGTGTCCTTCTCTTTTGATCGGACGGAAGGCGTCTAACATTCATTGCTTGATTTCAGATTCATGCATGTCAACTCTTAGACACATCCTAGTTTCAAAACCAAGCGAAATAGTGTCAATAGTCTAGGCAAGAAGTTACACGCTTCGGCACGTCTCGCGCGTATGGAAAGTTATTGTACCGGCTCCCGAAGTTTCCCCGCGGAGATTGCCAAACAGCACGTCATATTTCAAATACAACCCCGCAAATGTAATCTGAAGGAGCGGGGACATAAGAGAGTCATCGTTCAGTTTTTGACCCTTCAACGGTGTATAAAAATTCATCATACCTGCAGAACAGTATTCGTCAATCAGCAATCATGTCCCACCTCGATCCCGCAAAGCTCACAGCCGCTGGCTTCCTCCCCGCCGTCCCCCGTAACATCTCGCTCCTCTTCAACTGCCCGGCCAACGAAATCAAGCCGAACGAAATCAATGTCGAAGATATCAAAATCCCCTCTACGCCATTGGCCGATGCCATGACTGCATATGTCAAAGCTGCTCTCCCCGTCCCAACCTTCAACCACTCCATGAGAGTGTACTCTTTGTGCATGGCTATTCTGGCACAGCACAAAGACAAGATGAAGTACGACATTAACTTCGACCCTGAGGTTTATTACGTATTCAGCTTGTTCCACGATCTTGGAACCTCGATGACCGAGACTGCGCTATCATTCGAATACGCCGGTGGAATCCATGCGCGTGAGAAAGTTATGGAGCATGCCAAGGAGCATGGAGGGGATCACCAATTGCTCGCGGACTCGGTGTGCGAGGCGATTATCAGACACCAGGACAACTTCTTCGGCGTTGATGGTGGTGACGGTGGAAAATTGTCGGCGCTCACTGCTCTTTCTCACATCACGACGCTGTTAGACAACACTGGAGATTGGTCGCATTTGGTGCACCAGAAGACGTATGAGGGCATCGTTGCCAAGTGGCCTAGGGAGGGATGGAGCGAGCACTTCAGATGTCGCCTCGCTGCGGAGGGAAAGAACAAGCCCTGGTGTCATACCACCTTTATCGGTGTTGAAGAGTTCCGGGAGAACATTGGCAAGAATCACTTGAACAAGTACGAGCAGTAGTAATTAGCTCAGGATGTATTGTCGCAAATGTAATTGATTTTCCACTTCTAGTTCTCCTAGTCATAATTCTAAATAAATACAATTGATGTAAATCGTAAGTTACACAACTAATGTGAAATCCGTCTTGATAATTGACATACTCGTTTACAGCTACTTATGACTCGAAACTACATGTAAAAGTGTCTCCATATTTATCCGTCTGCATACAGCCTCTGATTGGGTTCCTGATGACTTTAATACTGCAGTTACTCTCCGGATGTACTGTACCCTATGTCTCTAGTACTTAATCTGCGGATAGGTGAGAAATCATGACACTTGACAAGCCAGCCAGGGACAATTCATGAAGCGGCGGATGTAGCTACTGAATAAAATTTCTTTATGTAATTTTGATTTCAAAAGTTAAAACTAAACAAATCAGACAGGCCGCATGGCCCAATGGCAAGGCGCTTGACTACGATTTAACAATTGAAATCAAGAGATTGCAGGTTCGATCCCTGCTGTGGTCAAGTTATTTTTGCTCGACTCCCATCTATGTTGTCTTTTATAAAATTCGGTCTACAGTTTTGAAATTACTTAATTAGTATTACTAGTATAGTCCATGTATATGCGTAACATCAGTAATCAGGCCTTGGGAGCAGAGCCACCTTCAGAAGCATCAGCTCCAGAGGTAGGCAACTGATCTCCAGCATGAACCTGGTCCTTTTCCTCGTCATTATGCTCGTCTGCTACTTCCGATGCCTTCTTCTTCTTCTGCTTTCTGCGCTTCAGCATACAGACCACAGCCACCAAAATTACTAGCAAAACTATGACTATAACGGCCACTACAACACCCGCCAGAGCTCCAGCTGACATCCCTTTCTTCTTTTTCTGCTTTGTTGTTGTGTTCTTATTTTTGTCTGTCGTCGTTGAGGCAGCTGCAGTGCTTTTCGGTGCACCCTTGTTTACACTAGTCGGTACGGATGAAGCTTTAGTAGTAGACACGGCCCTCTGTACTAAAGCAGCGTTTGGTTGATAATTCGATGGATAGATGAGACTTTCTAATATGCTTCGGGAAAGTGTAATACCAATTTCACCGCAGCTTAGAACGATATCGTTTATTGCGACTTCTTGACGTTAGTTACTAGCTTCCACGTGTTGAATAGGGATATTGTCATACGTTGGACTTCGCTGCTTGAGCATCTTCTACCAATACATACCAATTTTGCCTCGGGCGCTTTCATCGAGTTGATGTGGCATAAGTCGACCTTTCTGGCATTACACTGAGCCTATGTCTGTTTTAGTATTCATCGATGGATAAATATGTAGCTCTGTTAGTTACTTACAACGCATGCCAGAGCATCTTTGGCTACCACAGGTGCCGTGAGAAATCCGATGAGGAGGAGCGGAAACGGTGCAAGGGCCTTAAGTATTCTCATGGCGTTCAACGACGGGTACTGTACTGGTACAGTAATTATGGGTGGGAACGTGAGCTTTTAATGCCCCCATTTGGTTCAACCTAATGTGGTAAGCCCTCATCGCCGGTGGTCTCATTCGTTAATGTTTAGCGAGTGCATAGTATGAGAAAGTAGTGGCGTGTGAGAAGCGGCTTCTTGTGTTTACTCATGGGAAGGATTTGATAAGCCCTAGCTACAAGAAGCCTTCTCTCGGGTCGTTCCCGCGTCAAACTGCAGAATGCATGGGGTGAGGCTGGCCCATGGTCCATGCTATTCCATCGATCTATTGGCTGGAAATTTGACAAGATACAATCTCTTTGCCCTTCTCCAATGTTTTAAGATGCAATAACCATGATAAAATATAAAAGTGCTGCAGGTAGATCTATGTAGAGGAAAATTGTGTAGTCCAATATCAGTTCGCTTCGGTTTCATGGATAAGATATACGACAGCAACAGGACCTTCTCGCCAAGTTGCAAGAGTGTTTAATATTCGATAATATGAGGCATTAGACCTTACACGTGCCGCCTGCTATGGATCGGGGGCGTAGATTTGTGCGGACATGTGCACACTTACACCAATACACATCTACATATGTACATGAAGCGCCACAGCGCCCGTATCCTGTGCATGATTAGCTATGCACAGCCTCCTACGGTAAAGGACGCATTTGACATGAGAAGGAAAGCCGTATCAGTCATATGAAAACATGTATCACCGGACCCAAACAAGGCGGCCGTAAAACCTGCCGAACCATAACCCAGGATACATTTAATTCAGCCGCCGCCGCCGCATCCGATTCAGTTCTTTACGCCGATTGTCTATGTAATATAAAGGTAATCCACGCGCTTGATGCTATTGGAATCTTATGAAGGCATGAAATCGGTTAAATATACCACGGTGTAGTGTCACGATGACTACGCATAATGGGGTCTCCGTAGGCAACCAGTTCAGCACTTGAAAACATATTCATTCTACGCATTATGAATTTCTCCGCCTGATACATAGTTGCCTAAGGCTCCAAGCTATGTATCTTCCCGATATGTTATACGCATACGTACGCTACCGTCGGTTGGGTCAGCTTTCAGCTTACAATCCAATGGATCGACATTAAGTACTGCGGGCTGCGCCTTCGGCTCTTAAAATATCCACCCCTGGTGCCTGTGAGGCTACATGCGTACCCGCCATCGGCAAGGGCTTAAATTCGAGATGAGGTCTCGTTCCTAGATTGTGGTCTTCAGACAAGTTCGCAATGCATCCACGGAGCCCTTCAGTTCAGCTTCTCGACATCACCAAGACTGGCGAAAAACCATCATGGAACTTAGGTGTCGACACGATTCTTCCCGAACGTGCAGAAGACGTTGTGGTAAGATGGATGTTGGTCTCTAGGGCTCTTTCTCGAAAGATAAAGGCTAAGGGGTGAAGTCACATTAAGGCCGAGCCGTTGGATTTTGGGTTGTTGGTGGTGGGTTCAATCGCCACGAATCCACACAGAATTGCACTATATGTACTAAGCTAGATAGAAATTCGTACTGTTATATCAGAATCCCGCGCTTTCCAAGGCGCACGCGGCGTCGGCGTGTCAACTTCTGGAACGCTTTCGTCGTGAGCAGGAACGCGACTCAAACCACGGCCGATACTTCGAAGCAGGGAGTTGCGGAGGGGCTAGTACGTATCTACCTCGTTCAGATGCAAAACTATATTCTAATGTCGTAGACGAAAACGAAATCAAGTTCATCGCGTTGCCATTCATTGCGTACGGAACAGCACCACCAGCCATCAATGAGCTTCGACGCGCGTTACATCCTGTGAGGAGCTTATTCCAGCATCATTACCGACGAGAATCTCCCAGAGCAATTGAGACCAGAGATAATGAGCAAATATGTTGTAAAGTTCAGCCTGGTACGGAGAAGCGCTTACTTGTTGAAGAAGTGTGGATCCTGCGGTTAGATGCTGGTGAGAATTTATGAATCGTTAGTAGTATTTGTGCTAACAAGACTAAGGAACGGTGATCACAGTCTCATCCTCGTCCGGAGAAGATTTGTGGCTGAAACTGAAACTCTTTAATCCTGTCGATGTAGCGGTGCCGCGACGAAGCTTGGAACTCGATGGGATGAGTCTGTTGCTGGTGACGCGGACGAACTCTAATTCGGTAGTACAGCTGTCTAAGCACGTCAACACGAGAATAACGGATTTGATTCGCTTACAATGGCATATTAAGGGGATGGTACCTGGTTACTTGAAGTACCTCTTCGAAAAATACGAGGAACACGTGATTAGGCTTGCAACATGGGTACAAAGCTATGCTGTGCTTCGAGTAGCATTTAAACCACGCTGGATTATTATCATGGGGAAGAGTCTGGCATTGCTTGTATTGGCCCCGGAAATACCATTATTTAGCTATATACTAACACAGCTAGGCTACTGATAGAAAATGGGTTGACATACTCGCCGCGGACCTAGAGTCTTTCACGGAGTTTATGACGTTACACATTGCTCGGTGGCAAGAGTTCGGTAGTGCAGAACCATATATATCTTCAGAAGAACTGCAGGCTCAATTAATATCGTTATACTCGAAGATCTTGAACTATTCAGCACACTTTGTCCGTCGTGCCGGCCCACCACTTGTTAAGAACGCATCATGGAAACAAAAAGTGGATAGCCTGTTCGAGGACATTAAACAGCTTGCCGTCGTTTTGGAATGGACTGCGGAAACCGCCCAGATGAGAGCACAAGTTTTAGCAGACGCAGGGTTACCGGAGGAGACTTGTCGCCCCAAGGGAGTGGAAGAGCTAATATTGCTGGTAGCAAACTCACTGATACCGGAGGATTCTATGCGTACAAGCACAGCTTACATCAGTGAGGTCTATGCACAATATCTTGCTACAATGGTAAGCTTTATATTGGGTTCTCCTTGCAAAGTTGGGACACTGATACGCGAGGCAGCAATTCGAAAGCCAACAAGCTCCCTCAAAAGTCCTGGTCAAAAGCATCAACCAGGTTGCCGAAGAGCTCGATGTAATGACCGGTTTAGTGAAATCTCAGCAAAAAGTCTTATCACGTTTGAAAGACGAAAGCAAAGACCCCGATACATTAAATGCCACATTACAAAAGCTCGAGTTCTTTCATTCTGATTTGGAAGAGTACAAGCGTTCCTGTGCAAGGCTAGTAAAACTGGTACCGTATTACCTCTCCTGGTTTTTCTATCATGTCAACGAGGTACAATTTTCTTACTAAGAGGTCTGTTGCATATCATTAGACCGCTCAAAACGTTGATATGCAAATGGAGCATCACGGCAAAGCAATTTTGGTGTTTACAATGGTCACCATAATATTCCTACCGATGTCCTTTGTGGCAAGTGTTTTCGGAATGAATGTAGAGGATATCCGGAATATGTCCGGTGGGCAGTGGTATTTTTGGTGCTGTGCCTTGGCGATGACAGTATTTACAGTGGGGTTTTCTGTGGCGATTGCTTTCCTGGGCGATGAGATGGAGAAGAAAGTCAGAGCCTTGCTTGGAAGTAGGGAAAATAAGAGTTAATTCAAGACAATTTCACTACTAGCGTAAAAAAATAATTTGGCAGCAATTGATTTGATCATGTATGTAACCACGTACGTGTAGATACACAGATACGCGGAGGTAGTGTACCTCCGACATAGTGTAATTAGATGTTGAGAGGGAGGTGGACGCACTATTTGTTCAGAAAGAAGGGGCCCAGGAAGTCTGTATCGTATCCATATCGACCCCTCTTGGCGGGTCAAAAAGAATGTAACCTGAACCCCAGAAAGTCGATGACTTCCCGTCACTCTATTGGGGCCAATAGGTGATGGCGAAACAGGAGAAAAAACGGGCCACATTCGGAGTTGAGCGTTGCAGCTGTTGAGTTGCATAGACAGGGGGGTCGCAACCCCCTTTAGTTAGGATAGAAGGAATTCAATAACAATAGATAGTCATTTTTCTCACGATTGAACATGATCTATCCAACGGAATAGAGCGACGGGAAGTCATCCAATATCTTTATTAGCGCGTCACTTTGCAGGTAGGAGTGGGCGACTGCGTCTTTTTCTGTTTATA